CCACATAACATATAGTATATAATCACATATCACGTATTTCATAGAGTATAATTCATATACGTGTACTATAGAAAGCAACTACACACTTACTCATATCATATATCTAATACATTCATCAATACTTGTATTAAAATCGTGTATATGAAAGGGACTATGCACTCACTTGATAAGACGATGCTCGGACAGCACTACGGCTCTTAAAGCGGTATTCTTCGGTGAAATTGTGATCTCTTCACACACCGGGCTTCTCGCGGGCTGAGCTTCGGCTCGAAAACTCTTTTCTTCTCGGGATCTTCGGAGCTTCGGGACTCGCTTCGGGTCTCGGGATGATACCGGGGCTTCGGGGGTATAAATTGCACGTAAATCGAGGTAATATGGAGTGAGAGGAAAAAAATTGAGCAACAAAACTCGGCTGGCCTTGCTTCCTATTTATAGGAAGCTGGAAATCCATGCTCACTGTGACATCCCCATTTTCACGGCCAGAAAAGACCGATTTTGTTTATGCTTGTTTGAAAATCAGAGTAACATTTTAAATAAAAGTGTTGCGGAATTTGTTCCCAAAACAAAATATGATAAAGATTTATCAAAAGCATTTCCAAAGAAATGTATTTCATTAAAAGACTCGGGATGTCATGTTCGATACAGATCAAAAGCATAAACAGTACAATATAAGCCTTACTACATTATTTCATATCTACAGGCTTATATCCATAATCCCTCATCCAAAACATCACATCTATGCTCGAGCGCCACTACCTGTAATACATGAAACTAAGTGGGTCAGGCTTGGGAGCCTGGTGAGCACATAGGGTTTTCAACCCACAATAAATAAATTTATTATTTTCATCAACCAAACAAACACGATTACCCCATCCCGTTATCCTCACTTTACGTCCCTAAAACATCTAACACAAGGGACCTAGTCTAAGGACTTTCATCGGGGTGACAACACATGCTTTAGGGGTTCCTCAGCAATTTATGTCAAATAAGGCAACCATGTGGGGGATGGAGTACTGCTGGTGAGCACATAGTTCAAATAAACACCTACAGGTTGCGAGCCTGCTAGCGTTCCACTGGACTGTCTAGAATAGTCCGTGGTCGTCATCTATACTCCGCTAGATGACTGGATCATTAATAACATCTATAACGAGGCCTCTCGTTATTTTATTTTGTCACACAACAACTATTACATCTACCTCTGTTTTACCCAACACAGTTTGTAGATATAAAATACATATACAGTTTAAATCATTTAAAACATGTATAAAATCGTTCATCCAGCATAGATAGCAAGTATACATATAATATGCACACATAGCACGTAACTTATATAAAATACTTCATATTTATGTGTAAGATGAAAGTAACGATGCACTCACCTGATTAGGTGGTGACTCTGCACTCGGACAGCACTTCGTTATCTCAAAATAATTTTCCCTTGACAAAACCTAGTATCAATACCACTAGGGTTTAGTCTAACGTTAACCGCGACTAATTAATAGTCTAGCTATTATTATTATTATATAAGCGTTAAACAACACTCTATATAACTCATAATAATAGCCCAAATAATTATTATAAGGTCCTAATAACGTTACTATAATTAATTAAAAGCTATATTAAAAATTGCGTAGGCGTAGCTCACTTACATCGGGTTTTCTTAAGAACCGGGCTTTGCTCGGAGCAGCGTTTCCGAACCGAAAGACCCTTTTTCTCGGGACTCCGGGAGCCTCAGGGCTTCCTTCGGGTGCTAGGGTTTTCACCTAGGCTTTAGGGAGGATTAGAAACCTTAGAGAGAGAAAGAAATTAGAGAGAGAAAGAGAATTGGTGTGAAAAACTCGGAAGAATTCGCAGCCTATTTATAGGCGCTGGACTTCGGACCTACGCTGCGTGTTCAGCAGCATTACGCTGCGCGTAGCTTTGGATAAGGTCCAGCTCGCATACAACTGGCTCGCACCCGGACTAGGAAGGGATAAGGCCGAGGTACGCTGGGCGTACCCAACCTCGGACGCGGGGCGTAGCGAAGGGTGACGCTTCGTTCATCGGATGCGAGGCTGATCTTCTTCGGACGGCCCAAATCGAGCCCGTCATCACTTATCGCAACAGGTTTCGCAAATTGCACCCTCAACTTCAAAAATTCGTATCTTCGCATAAGAGCTCCGTTTTCGACGTTATTTATATCCACGCGTAGGCGGGAACGTACTCTACAACTTTCGTTTAGACTCCGTCGGCTAATTTTGACTTTATTTTAAAAGTTATATTTTTAACAGGCCGGGACAGGATTGGTCCGTTAAAAATTCATAACTTCTTCATCCGACGTCCGTTTTCGTCTGTCTTTTTATCGTTATGCTACTATTAACGAGATATTCGATTCTCATTTAGGTTGTATCGGCTAAAAACCGCTCGATCTAATATTCGAATTTCGGGTTGTACACTGCTAAGCCGAAACTTCGAAAAATCATAACTTCCTCATACGAAGTCAGATTTGGGCGTTCTTTTTATGGACGCTCTCGGTTTAACATATTCTACGACTTCGTTTAGATTGCTAAGGCTAAAAGTCGTTCTATCGTAAATTCACTATATACGCTTCCCGGTGTCGTGCCGCTTCCGTCGCGAAGCTTCGACGGGTCATAACTTCTTCGTTATAACTCGGATTTCGGCGTTCTTTATATCTCTGGAATCCTTGTTTCGACCACTATAACTTTATGTAAAGATATCGGGTTTATCTCACACTTTAATTTTGACACTTATTTTTATTCTTTATTTATTATACATTTATAAATAAATAATAAGCATATAAATTCACATAATTCACATAATACTCAAATATTTCATCTTTATTACATCAAAAAGAGTAACAATAGTTGACCTAGACTATTACATCGTCTAAAAATGCTTAGCCCCGAAATCCGGGCGTTACACTCACGTCGTGAGCCACTTGTGCTCACGTCGTGAGCTCGAATATGTCACTGCGTTCGTCATGGCCACTTGCCCTGGAAGGTGTCAATCACTCTGACATAGGGGTTGAAGTTCGTGCCCTGAACTTCAGAAATTCATATCTTTTGCATACGAGCTCCGTTTTCGACGTTCTTTATATCCACGCGTATGTGAGATTATGCTCTACGACTCTCGTTTAGACTCCGTAGGCTAATTTTGACTTTATTTTTATTTTATTATTTTTAGTAGGCCGGGACAGGAAAACTCTGTTAGAAATTCATAACTTCTTCATCTGACGTCCGTTTTCGTCTGTCTTTTTACCGTTGCATTACTATCGACGAGATCTTCGATTCTCGTTTAGATTGTTTCGGCTAGAAACCACTCGATCTCAAATTCGAACTTTGGGATGCATACCGCTAAGTCGAAACTTCGAAAAATATAACTCCTCATACGAAGTCAGATTTAGACGTTCTTCTTATGCACGCTCTCGGTTTAACTTATTCTACGACTTTTGTTTAGATCAATAAGGCTAAATATCGCAGTATCGTAAATTCACTATTTACGTCACACAGTGTCGTACCGGTTCTGCCGCGAAACTTCGACAGGTCATAACTTCTTTGTTATAACTCGGATTTCGGCATTCCTTATATATTCAGAAACCTTGCCACGACCACTACAACTTCCTTCATAGATATTGGGCTTATCTAATATTTTATTTTATCGTTTATTTTTATCCTTAATTCATTTAAATCACACAATTAAGCAATAAACACATAATACTCAAATAATACATTATTATTATTTTAAAACGAGTTACAAAGGTTAACCTAGACTATTACATCATCAATCAATGCCTAGCCTAGAAACACAGACGTTACAGTACGTCCCCAACACCCGCGATCACTTAACCCTTCTACGCTGGGCGTACCCCAGCTTACGCTGCGCGTACTCTTGTGCTGGCCACCTTGCATGCATGGTCCTTTCTTGCCATCTCTCTTCATTAATGACCAATATTGCCAATAACTTCAAAGTGTCACGACTCCTTCATTCTAAGTCCGTTTCCGACGAACTTTATATCCGCGAAAAGGTGGCGAGAAGCTCTATGCTTCTAACAACTCCTCATTACCTAAAACCTTCCGGATAAAACCCGGGACCCATAACAGACCGAATCGCCTATACTCTTGGCCTCCGAAACCACAATCGAATACTTCCAAAACTGGGTGTTACACTAACTTCCATCCAACATTTTTCGATGCTATCTTTCTGACAGCCAAACAATGGTCGTTGTTAGTTCACATCCTCTCTAACTTTTCGTTCCTATAAATCATATAAAACCAAGACAAAATAGTTTTCTAAACATAAAAATACAACAATATTTTCAACCGACTACGTAAAATTGTAACCGAAGGCAAACTATACTATATGTCATATTTCATAAATGATTTTTATGTAATAATATTTTATTATTTAACAATTTAAAAAATAATATTTTATTTTTTTTACCAATTCACATTTTAACCTTTTTTAACTTAAAAAAAAATTATTATTAAAATATTGTAGCTTTATAAAATAAACTTATTGCATACATTAAAATAAAAACAAACTTTAAGCATAAATTCACATTTATAATACCATAAGAAATCAAATTCGAGCATGGATATGGATATATAACATTTTAACCCCCCCGTCATCATGATAACCGACTTCCCGTTCCCCCGCCACATTAAATTCAACGGCTACACACCTGCAAATTCAAATCTCAAAAACCATCGCCAAGTGCTACACAAACTCAAACAAACACACACCCAATTCCATTTCCAATTCTTCAAGGTTCCTTACCATTTAATTTCTCATTGATTGCTTCAACTTCCGTTTCTCTACATTCTGATTCTCTCCTCCATCGCCACTTCAAGTCTCTTCGTTGAGTCGTTGAGTCGTTTCACGAACAAGCCTTCAACAATTCCCAGAAATCAATCTCTGATTTCTGTTAATACTCGCACAAAGGTATGTTTACAGTGACTCCATTTGAATTGTATTGTGTGTTTATGATTTTGTCGGGTTAAATGATGAAAAACGAGGGTTTTGCAGGTGGGTTTCTCAAATCGACGAAGAAGATGAATGATCTGATGACGAAATCGTTCATAAGTTATGTAGATTTGAAGAAACAAGCCAAGATCGACATCAATTCAGAACAAACGGATCTCGAAAAAGGTACGCAAGAACCCAACATCACTCCCTCCGATGAAGCATACCTTTCTAAATTCTTCCAAGAAGTAGACGCAATCAAATCCAACATGGAAGAAATCACGAATCTTCTCTTCGATCTTCAAACTCTAAACGAAGAGACGAAATCCACTCACAGTCACAAAGTCCTCCGCGGATTACGAGACAGAATGGAATCCGACATGGTTTCTGTTCTTCGAAAAGCAAATGCTGTCAAAACTCATCTCGAATCTCTCGATAATTCCAACGAACTGAACAGAAAATCTTCATACAAAGAAAACAGCGCTGTGGATCGAACTTGGGTTTCTGTAACAAACGGGTTAAGATCAAAACTCAAAGAACTGATGAACGATTTCCAAGATTTGAGAGACAAGATCGTTTCAGATCATAAAGAGTATCTCAAGAAACGATACTACAATGAAACTGGAGAATACCCAAGTGATGGAATGATGGAAACGATGGTTTCTGGAAATGGGAAAGTGTTTGAAGGAAAGAAGGATTTGGTTATGGAGAATAAAGAGAGACATGAAGCTGTGATGGATATAAAGAGGAGTTTGAATAGACTTCATCAAGTTTTTCTTGATATGGCAATTTTGGTGGAAGAACAAGGGGAGAATTTGAATGACATTGAAGGGAATGTAGCAAAAGCTGGAAGCTTTGTTAATGGTGGAACAGATAGCTTGTTTTATGCGAAACAGATGAAGGATAAACATAACAAGAACTGGGTTTGCTTCATTTGGTTTATGGTGATAATTATATGTTTGGTTTGTGGCATTGCTATGTTATCTTCTTTTTGATAACGTGTTCATGAATCTTTAGGGTTTCCTAATGCTATGTTAGGATATGATTTGTTCTTTTGATTTTTTGAGTTTTCTTAGCTCAAGATTTAGACCTTAGGGTATGAATCTTTGTGATAACGAAAAAAATTCACTTTAATGGAAGTTCTTGAATCTTGAATGAATGTTTAGTTGTTTTTGTTGCTTTATTGTTTGTGTGTTATGTTATGTTTTCCACATATTTATTCGCATTACTAAATTGTGTTTTCATAATACAATAATCACAAGTCTCTCTTTAAGAAAATACAAAAAAAATTTCAAGTCTCTCTTTAAAGATCTCCAATTCAACCAACACTAAGTTGTTGAGTAGCCACCCATGATTTCTCCGGCTCTAAATCAACATTTCCAATCTGAAAATTATTTAATTATTAAATAATTACACATTAAAATGAACAAAAAAAAATTATATACTTTATATAAAAAGTGTCACATGTTGAATTACCTGAGCATTTTCAACACATACAAAATCTTTGTAGCATGCTTCCATTGTCAAATGTGGATTCCATAGAACCGCATCCGGCCAACTACATGGAGGGCAAATAAGTAATTTGACAACAAAAGAAACTAAAAAAGATTAACAACTTACTTTGTGTTCTTGATTGATATGATGTCACCAAGACCATTATCCAAATATAACTCGTTAGAGGCACCAAGATATACGCAGTCAACAAATCCAGGGTAAGTCACCACGTCTCTAAAATCATACAATTTACAGTTCAGAACAGAACAAAACAGTACAGAACAGTACACATAACAAGTTGTACGGTTTGTATTGGTATTGGACTGGGACTCATGTCAGTGGGATAAAAGTTACATTCTTTGTCCTACCCACAAAAAGGTGGGACTGGGACAAGGACTGGTTCTGGATCTTTCATTTGTGCAAAAGACGAAAATGCCCTCATACGTATACCTTTCCTCTTTACCCTCAATGGGGTTCTTAGGGTCTGGATCTTTGTTGAGAGTCTTACAACCTTTTAGACCTTTAACGGATGCACCCGATACAGAAGCCTTCAAAAAACGAAATAAATCTTTTAAATATTTACACGAAAAATGACTTTATATTATTTTGATTGATAATGATGATGAGACTTACACTGAAGTAAGTATGAAGGGCAGTGGTGAATGAAAATGGTTTTTTGTCTGTGTTTGTGATTTTTAATTCAGTTGAAAGGGTTTTCTTGTCTAGGGTAATCTGCAAATAAAGGACAAAAATGTGATAAATTGTAAAGTAAAATGTTTGTTTGATAAGAAATTAAGAACATGGTTACCTTGTATAAAGCTTGAAAGCTGTAATCCCACATAGCTCGACTGTATGAGCTATCTTTAAGCTCTAGAGTGATAACAGGAGTTCCATCGACATTTTCAGAATCGACAATCGACCAATCGGAATTCCTTGCAAATCCATGCTGTTATGAATTTTATGTAGAAATGTTTCGATTTGTTACAAAAAGTTTAACGATTTATGGATCATGGATGCAATCGTTGTGTATTACATACCTGTTGCATAGGGCCAGGTCCGAATTGTGGAAAACAATGGGGGATTCCTCCACTGTTTCCAAAAGAAAGAACAAAATGGAAGAAAGAATGAGCGACAAAAGTGGAAGAAAGAATTCAAGAATGTAATGGAGTTATAAGATTTGGATTTAAGATGAGAAGAAAAGTAACCTTATGGGCTTCTGTCCATTGAAAACAGCATCTGGACGAACAAAAAGGAGATCCCTGCTTCCGACTTTCCAAGATGTAACACAGCCTCCATATAAGTAGAGCTCGGCTTCACTGAAAAGTTATTGAGATGAATGTAGAATGACCTAATTTGAGGACCTGATTGTTCAGAATGCAATAATAATCACTCTGAAATCGGAAATTCAAGTATATTATCCTATCTACATAGTTCTCAATCGATTCTGCTTAAGGAACAAATCAATCGATGGATATTCACGGAATATGTTAATGACTAGTATCAATCAATCAATCAAATCGAAGTACCTTCCATGGGAAGAGGTTAACACAACCTTGGGCAATTTCCCCAATCCTTCAGTAACTTTAACTCCCAAAGTCGCAGTATCCTTATTCACAGTCGCAAATGCCATACCTGAATACCTGTCGTCAAACACTAGTTAAATCCCTCGAAACTCGGTCAATTTCTCAACATCGAGCTCTTTTTTTGAAGGAATTGGTTGGAATTTTTCAATCTTCAGTTCATTTTGATTAAGAAAAAGCGATCAATTAGGATCGAACGTTGAACTGAAGATGGAAACTTTGAGAAGGGGAGTTGAATATGGAAACTCACCGGTTGACCCGGGGTAGCTTAGAAGAAGTTAGGGTAGGAAGAGACCACGTCATTGATATTGCCCCCATTATCGTCTTCTCTGCTGAAAAGAATCAAGTTAATTCGCACACAAACACACAGATTTGTAGTAGCAAATCATAAACGATATTTTTTGCACTGAAAAATGTCGTTATTCATCGTTATGCCCACCATAGATATCGCATATTCGAGCCTAGACATATTTACGAAATTGACCTTTGAGCTTCGGATAATGTCACTGTAGCACATGAAACTTTCTTCATTTGGCTAATTTGGTCCTTAAAGTTTTTTTTTTGGTACATTAGACCAGTAAACTCGTAATTGACCTATTAATTACACCATTTTCTAAAAAAATTAGAAGGTTTACCGGTTACAATGCTTATGTGGCACGCTGATGTGTCTAATAAGCTTATGTGGGATGCTTATGTGTCGAAGAAGTACAATTGTCGATATAGGCTTATTAATTCAAACCCTCATTCGGACCTCCATTAAAACTTTACTTACCCTTGTGTGAAAAGTCAAAGACTTCCCCCCGACTATTTCCGTCCTGAAGAACAATGTCTTCGAGCTCATCGACCTCAAGGAATCAGCTACAAATTACTCATGTTCAGCCGCGAGAAGGGGTAAAGGTGTGTGATTGTGACGTTCCAGCTAAAGAACGAACATGTTGGAAGATAACAAACCCTGGGAGGCGTTTCTGGAATTGTCAAAACAATATGGTAGGTCCCGATACTCTTGATTTTGATAACTTAGTATTTTAGGGTTTGATGTGTTGTTTCTTGCTGTAAAGACGATCATGGTGGATTTGTATTTTGTTTGCTTAAAAAAAACCTTAATTTTATTTGCTTCTTGACGATGGTGGATTGTGAATCAAACCCATTTCGTTAGTACATTAAAGGTAGCTGATTTGTGATTGTGAATCAAACCCTAATTTTATTGGCTTTTTATAGACTAGGTTGAAGAAATGTAGCTTCTTTGAATGGAAAGATGAAGAACAGGCAGAAGGGTACTACAAAAACCTGCTATATTCTCTGAAGCAGAAACTGGATGCTAAAGAGGATCTGTCTGAGATAAACAATTTGAGGAGAAGGATTGCTGAAGTGGAGTTTCTGTTGTCACAGGAGCAGTATAAGGTGGCAAAGAGTGAGAAAGAAGTTTATGATGCAAGGAAGGCAATAGGCAGGTACATGATGATATTTGCCTTGTTGTTTGCTTGCTTGGGAATTTGTGTTTTGAAGTTAGGGGGTGATTGTACTTAGTTAGGTTGGTTAGTGTAAGCTTTTGTTTTTTGGGATCCCTTGTATTTTTTGTAAAGGCAGACTAGAAAGTCAGTAATGATGGGCATTTTGTATGTATTGAAGCTGCCTTTAGTTACAAGTTAGGGATATCAACATTGATGTGTTGATGTTGTAAGGTGGTAAGTCCCTAATGAAAGGGCATATGATAACTAATGTAAAAAAAATATTCAAAGTCCCAATTGTAGGGCATTTTGTATAATCAGATGTTGATGTTAATGAAACATATGCATTCCCTGTATTCCCAACAAATATATTTAATTAGATTGGTTGTTGTGCATGTTTTCATTTTGGGAACAAATGAGATAGTGGTCCATGTGGAAGTACACTATGTGTATGGGGACCATTTGTAGTTACTAGTCAGTGGGTGTTTTAATAATGGAAAAATGGGACCTTTTAACCCATTATAGAACCATATCCGGGACCATATAAAACATTCACATGCATGCACATTATTCCAAATTTTTCCATGCAGAAATATTCAAAGCCATATGTCATGATTTTACTTAAAAAGGCAACATACTTTCATAAGTGAGTAAAATATCATGTGAACAGTTTTAGTAAAAAGGCAACATATATCCATTACTGACCAAAATACCCTTTTATATCATGACCAAAATACCCTTTTATGTCAAGAGTGACCAAAATATCCATTACTAACCAAAATACCCTTTTCTCTCATGACCAAAATACCCTTTTATGTCAAGAGTGAACTTAAAAAAGCACCATCCATACATAAATGACGAAAATACCCTTTTGTGTCATGAGTGAAATTGAAAGGCACCATCCATACATAAATTTAAATTACCATCATCCTAATACATAAACTTTAAAACAAATTACCATCATCCTAATACATAACCTTTAAAACAAATTACCATCATCCTAATAAATAAACTTTAAATCCAAATTACAATCAACACTAATCAATTACAAGAGCTTTTCCCTTAGAATTTCCTGGATCATTAACACCACCAATTGTTTTGCCTAATTTCAGCTTCAATATTCTCTCTGACTTTCTTCTCCTTATCCTCTTCAAAAGCTCTGAAATTGGCCTAACCCTTACCTGCTGAACCTGGATAACAGGAACAACCTCCTGAATTTGAACATTATCAAATTGGGCATTAGGATTAACCTCATCATCTTGAACAACTTCCTCACCCTCCTCAGCCTCCTCACCCACAACAGCTTCCTCACCCACAACACCCTCATCACCTTCATAACTTCTAGGTGGACTAAATTGCATAGACTGACTAAAATCCCCTGCACTACTGGATTCAACATCAGTAGGAGTAACTTGCATATCATTTTGAGTAGTATCCATCTCAATTGGAGTCATTTCAACATCTTCATGTTGTTGTGGCTCACTTGTACTACCCTATATGGCATGATATAATTATGTTAGTGACAAATCATATGTAAATAAATTTAAATTTTAAATGGTTTTACCTGTCCTGCATTTTGATTCACACAAACTTTTTGTTTCTTATGTTTCTTCACATTTAACTTTTGGGGCCTTCTCTGTGGACAAGTGGCCTTGTTGTGACCTATCTCCTTGCAAATACTACATCTGATTTTCTTTCCAGCTTTAGAAACCCTGTGTGTTCCTGTATTATCTGTAGTGGATTTCTTCCTCCTAGTAGCTGGCCTACCAGGCATCATTCTACTAATAGGAGGCAATGGTGGAGTATAATTTGTCTCTGGCCACATGTCACTGCTATTCATGGGGGAAATTCTGTAATTGTATGCCTTCCTAAATGTGATTGTGTTAAACATGTTGTCTACATAGGCTTCTACATCCCTATTAAGAAAGGATATGCTAGCTACAGAATGAACACATCCATATCTATTCAATTGCCACAACCTACATGAACATGTTTTCCTTTCTAAGTCCACCTCATATGCATCTATTGCTCCCCTTACCTCAAACTGGTTTAATCCACTTGGTAGTACCTGATAATGCCTTTGAGCTTTTTTTAAGCAAATACACCTTATCCCTTATCTCTGGACAAATATGATTTCCCCATTGTTGTCCCTTTAATTTCATGTTGTAGACTCTGCCATCATGTATAATCTTAACTCCTCTAACATGGTTATTATGGGCTTCTTCGTGGCATCTACTATTACAACATTAAAACTTTCTGAGAAGCCATTTTCAACTGCATCACAACACCTTCCAGCTTGAAAGAAAGCTCTTGACCATGTTTTTGGATCTTTCTCCATGAGATATTGATGGGCATCTGGGTTCAATGTCTCAATTTCCTTCATCACAACTTTAAAACCATGCTCAGTTGTGGCTTTAGATGCTCTCCAAAACAAGGTATGATATATGGCACTAGTGAATCTCTTCTGCAAATTCTGGCAAATATGTCTAGCATATTGCCTGTGCTCTATATATGGCAGCAACTCTTTAACAGCCTCTATCAAACCATGTATTAGTACAAAGGTTTAAATCAGATAGTATAAAATAAATATAAATGCATTACTTTGTAAAATACTAACCTTATGTTGGTCTGACATTAAACTGAAACCATTGCCTAAATTCAAGTTTAGATCATCAATGAGAAGCTCTAAAAACCACTTCCAATTCTGCTTGTTCTCCACATTAACCACTGCCCAAGCAATAGGATATATCTTGTCATTTGCATCCCTCCCAATAGCACAAATCAATTCCCCCTTACAAACACCTTTAAGAAAACATCCATCAAGACCTATTATCCTTCTACACCCTTCAATCCAACCTTGTTTAACTCCTTGAAAACAACAGTAGAACTTGCTAAAATATTTCTTTCCATCTGGACCATCCTCCACATCTAGTTTCACAGTTGACCCATGATTTGTCCTTAAAATCTCATGACCATATGACCATAGCTTACCATAATGTTCAACAAGGCTACCTTCAACAAGATTCAATGCATACTTCTTTGCTCTTCTACATTGCCCCATACTAACTCTGATACCAAACTTGGCCATTACCTTTACCCTAAGCTTCCTTACACTTATTTTCTGACTTTGTACAATCTCTTTGGTATAGTGACTCCCAATCCATGCATATGTCACCAATGATCCAAACTTGAAGTTCCTAGCACAATTATGATCAGCTTTTAGTGACTTGATTTGGAAACTCTCTTCATCACTCATCCAAGAAGCCCATAATCTAAATGTGCAAGCACCCTTGCTACACCTCACCAGAAGTCTTTTCCTATCATTTTTTCCAAAACACAATTGATATCCATTAGCTACATCATAGTTACACAACATTGATTTTACTTGCCCTGGACCCTTAAATCTCATCCTTAGAATTGGTTTTTGTTTTTTCCAGTGTAATAGCTCATTAAATATGGAATGAGTTTGTATGTTAACTTGAACTTCTCTCCCATTGTCATCATCTACGATGTTGTTTTCATCCTCATCATCAACACATAACTTACTCAAGAAAGGATCATTTGATGTCCTATTCATATGCACTACATCCTCATTAAATTCTAAGGCAACATTTCTAAGTTCATCTATGTTATCTTCATTTTCACCATCAATACAAGACTCATGTTCATCATCATCATTATTTTCATCATTAAGCCACCCACCAACCCCAATATGATCCACATAAACCGAAATTACACCATCTGTTCCATAAGCATAAAAAATAAAAGCAACATATTCCAGATCATCTGAAATGGGATTAAGCCCTTCCATCAGGGAATTGCCTGGTTCACAGTAGTAAAACTTTTTACACTCTACATGCATGAAACGTTCGCAGAAGGTCACAAACTAATAATAAGTCACAGAAGAAAAGTCGACATCAATGAACATGGTTTTCACACCACCAGTGTAAGATAAAGGATTTCGATTAAATACCCCTTGGTAGTTGACTTCCACCATCGCAAACACTCCATTAGGTTCCGATTGTGCCATTGCTGCGACTTCTTTGTTTCTTCAGCTCGATCACAGGAATGCTTCACAAACCCTAACTCAGTTTCTTTTACAGCTGAATAATGAAGACGAGTGAAGTTCGATAGTTGAAGACGAAAGGCTTTAAGCTTCATATATCATTAATTGACGTGGCATACCTCACGTGGCATCGGATTAGGCCAAAAATACATATTAATTGACATATATAAAATGTCAACCGGGAAACCGTTTAAAAGTTGATAAAATGGTGTAATTAATAGGTCAATTACGAGTTTACTGTCTAATGTACCAAAAAAAAACTTTAAGGACCAAATGAAGAAAGTTTCATGTGGTACAGTGACATTATCCCATTGTAATATTGAATGAATGACGACACAAATAACATCAAAGTTTACATGCGACAATTGACATGTCAACTTGATTAAAAAAAATCAAACAATTTTTTAGTAATTAAAAATACACACAACAAAGTATGAAACATGATTTTTTTTTTCTTTTTCCAGTTTCATTCCTTGTCAAACTCTCAAACAAACCGCAACCTTCATTGGAAAATGTACACTTAATTGGTTAGCACGATGGAAGATCCTTTGGTGGAGGACGAACCGCCTGATCTTTTTCCAGCCCATCTTCCACCACAAACGTCGTCTTCAATCCCCATCCGGTGTGCAACTCCAAATGACAGTGAAAGAACCAAACACCTAAATACACAAGAATTAGTAACATATGGTTTTTAACAGTATGTGTGTGTGTGTGTGTTTTCTTTGTGGTAAAGATGATCGATACCTGGATTATCAGCTCGGAATCGGATGGCAGCCCAACCACCGGTGGGAACACCGACGGTATTCCTCTCCGGTGGATCAACCAAGTTATACTTGATCGGATCCTTGGAAGAGTCGAAGTTGCCAATGCCAGTTCCAACGACAAAGAAATTGAACCCATGAAGATGAAAAGGATGCGATTCAACGCTTAAGAAATTGGTATCTTGTATGACCAATTCAACGGTAGAATTAAATGCGATTTTGCTTAACCGTGTTCCCTTAGAAGTGAAAAGA